GAATTTTTTTTATTTTTCGAGTCAAGAAGGATATTGTGTAATATAAGATTTCAGAGACTTAATGTTAGTCTAGGCAGCGAGCCTCACCACCCGATCCATTTAGTCGCCTCTTACGACAAGCATAGTCGCCCTTGTACTCATCTCATCTTATATTTCTGAAAACACCGCTCACAACTTGAGCATAGTGCTGACAAACTAAGAACCATAATCGGGACGAACCGGGATTCAAACCCACAATCGTGCCCCAGAACACAGAAATTTGCGGCGACTTAAGCGACTCGGCCACCCGTGCCCGTTCGTTGTAAATCAAGCCTGAGACATATTAATGTCACCGAGTTTTCGGGAGGGCAGCGTTGTAAATCAATTCTATACTCAATAGTGAAATTCTTACCTTCAACACTAACGGTTTTATTGCATCATTGCTTATCCTGTAATAGAAATCGTCTTTGAAACTGTTTAAAAATAAACATAGAGCATGCTATTTTTAGGGATTAACGCTTCCTGACACCTTGACACAGAGCGCAAGGGTAACGGGAGTAAAGCTGTGATAAATACCAACAAACTGTTTGTTTGTAAACAATTAAAAAAACTTTTCTAGACGTATCCTTTGTCTTGAGCACTGCCTTTCATTGTTTTTTTTTATCTAACCTTTAAACAACGCCAGACAAAGGCACTTAGAAGCACAAAGTGCCGCCATTAATGTTGTCCTTAGCGGAGACGACGATGTGTAATTGTTGATGTAGGGGATTAGGTCATCACCGTGATTACACTTTATCAATACACGCCACAGTTTATCCCCCGTACAAACACAAGATAAGTAAGTAGACAGAGATTTGGATGTGTAGTCGTTGGGGGAGGAACGTGTAGTCGATGGGGGTGGGGTGGGAGGAGAGGTCCGTAAGCGACGTTTAGCACCCTGCCGCCATCTTTGATTACACGAATCAGCTGCAAAACTGCAAGCCAACAGATATACTCATGTTTAATGGTGGCTAAAATTATTTTTTAAAAAGATAAAGAAATGATTAATTCATTATTCCAACCTACAGCACGGCATTCTTCAAAATTCCAAATCTCCCAAATATTAAATAAGCAACCCTTAAGTCCCCCAGGTGGCCCTTCCTTTTCGGACATACCCTCCTCGGCAAAACCACTAATTGGCCTGGTGGGCCCCTGTACGAAATACGCGTAAAGTCTGAAAGCGCACGTTAAAACACCATCTCTCTCTCTCTCTCTCTCTCTCTCTCTCTCTCTCTCTCTCTCTCTCTCTCTCTCTCTCTCTCATATGGAGATGTATATGATACGGATATCATAGGCGATATAACCTGCAGCATAGCAATGAGTAGCTCACATCAGGTCGCGGGCACATGACGTCTCAGGGAATATCACACAGAACTGAGCAGAGAGTTGGAATTTTCAAGTGTATATTCTTTTGCCCAACTGTTTAGTTTATAGTAATTGGGACGAAATATAAGTTTGTGAACTGAAGAAACACCCTTAATCCAAGATACCAACGCGTGTGATGTTTTGTCAAATACGGAATAAGCCGCAGACAAATATAGCGCAGCTATATTGCTTTGGCCTGATGACATCTTCTCCAGCCTCTGTACGATGTCAGACCTTAATAAAGAAAAGTTTTGATTCTGTGTTACAAAACGTGCTCCAATGACGTTTACGAATTTCTTACTTACTTAAATTAGGAATTTAACGTGCGCTTTCCGACATATGCGTATTTCGCGCACGGGCCCGCCAGGCCATTTGGTGTTTGGTCGAAGAGGTATGTCCGAAAAGGTGAGGCAACCTAGGTGGGGCTTCGGTTTCGGTTCCTCGCATGATTAAAATGTGTGAATGTATAATGCGATCAGTTGTCCTAGTGTGGACACAGTGACTTCATCCAATTCTCAGTGTGGACACCGAGTTCAGTGAGGCGTAGGCAGGGCGGTGGCCAGACTGGGAGGTTACCAATTCTTCGTGTTCCTAGGCGCGATGTTGCTGAACGAGACATAAAACCATTCTCGACTTTATTTAATCATTTCCTCTTACATGGAGTGTTGAATCACGGACTATGATGCTATCGAAATACATGTACATCTACATAATTACATGTTAAACTTAAGCTGATGCATGACCAAGAAGCGTATATACCATGACTGAACAAAATACGTTTGTAGCAAATCCCTAAACGTCATCGAGAGTAACGATACAGTGGTACAACAGAATAATCACTGGATACCACTTTTACTTAACGTCAATTTGACAACGATCACACACCTAGTACAATCTGCATAGTCGCATTGATTTATCTCTTGTTGCGTTAAGCGTTTAAGAGGTCGCCTTCTGTCTGTGCAATTTCGGCTGACCTGTCCCTCCTTGGGATTCGTGTGTGAGTAGGGTACACATATCTGTTGTGAGTTTGTTATTCACATAATTTCTGTTTTTGAATTGATATAATTTCATTTTTATCCTTGACGGCTCTGTTTATATACGTTCGAGTAGCTGTCCATCTCTCAGAAATAGAGTTAGTTTGGCCTTCGTTATTGCATCTATTGGCTTTATGAGATCAATGACTGATAGCGTATCTAACTGCAATTCTTGTTTTAACCGAGCCCGGGATGGGGCGTGGACATTCTAGTAACATATTTCTCTTACCAAGTACTGCGTATTTATATTGCAGGAAGTTCCATTTGGCGCCTTATATAATTCTGAAGGTGTTTTATGGGTTAATGACACGATAATTCATCCATGACGGATTATCTAGTGAGAACCAAGATTCCAACATAGGAGATATTTGAACATACCCCCGGGCAAACGCACTCGTGTCAACCAAAATGGTGAACATATGAGTTCGTACTCGTTACACTTCACAAACCGCATAATTCGTAATCATTATTCATATAAAGAAGGCATTCATTTACCTGATGAAGGTGTAAGCATATACTCCGAAACGTTGTTGTGTTCCTCATAATAACAAAGTTGACCTCCATAAATTCTCTTCCTTATGTGTATCACTAAATGCCTTTCATAGACTTGATTATTCATATAATTTGTTAATATAAGCGCGCGGGGTGGGGGTACAAGATAAAAACACAAGAAGTGTCAAATTAGACATATATGGGTACTTAAAACAACATTTCCTCATAATATCCTACTTTCCCCTTCCAAATAAAAGTGGTGTAGGTTATATAAAGTGAATTAAAACGTCATCTCGTTAACGGTATAGGTAAACTGGATTCGCTTACATTATACAAGAGTACTTAATTCCAGAAGAGTGGAGATTAAATCCATCAATTCAATGAAATTCTATCAGTCAATCAATTCTATGTACGCAATGCTCCTTAATACCAACGCAGGTCGTGCCTTGTCGAAAATTCCAAGGTGGCCGCTCGGATCCAGATCAACCTACATTAATCACGAACTATATCTTTTAAATCCCTGTTGAATCCTATTTGTCAATAGTTTATTTCAAGGTTCAAGGGTCCAGCCCATGTCTATGATTATTGGCTTGTGACGCGTAACGGGGGACACAAAGTTGAGATAAAGATGGCGGTCAACTGCGGACATGTTGGAACAATGACACGAGTCGGTGTCCGAGGACACGTGATTAGTGCCGACCATAGACTGACACCTAGTCTCGAAATGAACATATTTTACAGAAAGAAACAGTTGTTATTTAAACTATTTAGTAAAATTTAATACATAAATAAACTAATAAATTTTAGAAACTGCAGTAATCTACACTTGACAAATATTATAGGCATGCATGGGCTGCATTGAATATATTTGTTTAGGGTTGTATGACAGACTATGCTGACCAGTAACGTCTGATTAATAGTTTTTTATCCATATTCAATGTATGGCAGTTGGTAATACCATCCTACAAGGGCATTCACGATGAAGAATGTATATTTGACAGTTTTCACAAAACAAAGTCCAGCTTGGTCTACCAGCACCACCTAGTAAACAATGGGGATTAATGCGTATATCACATACAATCTGCAATATGTCCTGGGGACGTGTGAACAGTTATAACAATAACAATATGGTTATTAAGGGTACAACAGTGTTGAATTATGAACACAAGTCATTACATATAAACACAACACTATGTCCTGAATAGGTGAGGTATTTGCTATATTATCGTAGGTGTGAAACCAACATAAATGAACACAAATAAAAGGCGAAGTCTGCAGTGTATGTGGCTATGTCATGTACTGCACAAAGCAGACAAAAGATTTAAGAAGTACTTCAATGGACACACGATTAACAGTAGAAATAATTTTAATGTTATAATATTGGTAAGACATGCTTTCAAAAGATACCTCCAAAGGTTGAGAAGACCATACAAAACAAATCGACACTCATTTTGAGGAAACGATAAAATGTATTTTTTATTTGAAAAAGTTTAAAACACTTGTCTCTAACGCCCCACCTACCCCTCTCCATAAGTGGCCACCGAAATAAGTTATATGTACGTGAACAGTTCCGCATGTTCTTATAACGATGTACTTTATGATTGTATTTTGAAAACTGTTTATGAAAATTGCGATGCATTGTGTCTGAAAATATGTGTTTATGTTACGAAATATATATATGCATTTTGTAAATAGTTCAAAACTACAAAACGATAGATATTTTCAAGATATGAACGAAACTCAAGCCTGTGGTACGTGTCTTCTGAGGGGTGAGCTCTTGTCATTCTAAGGTTGTATTACATCACTTGCTTCAGTGAGCAGGTGTCTACAGGCGGACGGGGTAAGATCGCTGTCCTTTTGCGCCCTTATCCAGGTCATCATACCCATCCGATTATTATTCCCAGATATCGAAATCGGAGGATTCTTTTAGATTATGTAACTTAAATCTGTTACTGTAAATCAAGCATAAAAGAGTAGACATTAATTACTTCATAGAGGAAGAAAACATAATATTACGCGAGGAGCAATCTTTCCAAGGGAGACAACAGCCTCGGGCGGAATTACTCATAGATGACACTTGTACCTTTCCAGGTGACATTGATTGGCTGGAGCGGTCACGTGACACAAGCGACAGCGTGGGCCATATCAGAGTGTGGCTGTCAGAGGGAGCACATAAAGTTTCGCCAGCCCATAGTGTTGGAAAATATTTCGAGAGGTGCTTCTACCATAACCCAGTGGATACTGGAAGAGAATACCGGTAACTGGCTGCCTTGGATGAGTGCATCTTGGGCCAACTTCTGTTGATCGGGAGATATAACAAGAGTTTTTCACTATGTCGTGAGTATTCTTTGTTTACATCTTTAACATTTTTATTTTACCATACGTTCTTTCAGTTTCGTGGGACCTTACCTTTTACAAATTTTTAATACAACGTATATATTTAATTTATATATTGTTAATACACTTGTTTTTAAATGTTATTAAAAAATCCCTCCACTGAATAACATAACGTCGAATCAGTGTTGCGTGACGTAATATGGTAGCTATAATATCCGGAGGGTGTGTTGGAGGATTGTTAGGCGTCATACCTATACACTTACATTGTTACACTTTCACCACCGGACAAAATAAGTGTGTGTGTACAATGTATTCAGTATACAGGCGAGCACATATCTTGTCTGGGCAACAATCGTGTAAGACCTTACAACATAACAGGCTTATCTGCACTCTTTACAGTGTGCAAGTGTATACAAACCGCACCAGATACAAGACTTTTCTTATCACGAAACACTTTTCTCTATAAGCACATAGGTCATTGGTCGACAAAGCTCGTTTCGAAAGATCCTATATGTACACATACTATATATGCTTCTCGTTAAATATGCTGGCATAAATAACGTTTTTTTCTTTACTTGACACGGAGCTCGTGACTAGTGTCGAGCTATCGTGGCTATCTGTCTGCCTACATACATACGTATCTAGATACCATAGATTAGGTACCCCGTGCCCCTCTCATTATTATATCTCTTACTTTGTGACTGTCGTTATTCCCCGGCATGTCGGTCTAAATGGCGAAACCGATCACTCGGAGATACCTGTGTTATTTTTTACAAAGGGATTGCATATGAATACAATACGACGCCCTGTACGACTCTAAAGCATATATTTTTATTCAATAAGCATAAGAGATAGCGAACTAGGACACGACCCTGTACTAACGCCGTTCTGAATTAATCTTACTGGACTTTGCCATAGGTTATCGTATATATTGTTCTACCAGCACTGGGAGGAGTAATTAGGGTTATGGATTTATTTGTTATTTATGTCAAGTGCCAACGCAACGTAATACACCAATTAGTAGAAACTAATTAGTGGCTATTGTCTTCGACGAAACCTTAGTTGCAAACACAGACTAAAGTCTCCCACGATTCCCTGCTCCATTTGATTATCATTACTATCTTTTATTTTTATCATCTTTGAACATTTGGCTGTAATCTTCCTTTTCGGCATTACAGCATATTCTTGAAAGCCATAAGCCACCTGCTTGTCAGTTCACCGTTTTACGCCGGCTTGTGTTTTCCAGTTTCACTTTCATCTACATGTCGCCCATGGTTCTAAATATACCACCTCTACCTCTTCACCTTTGCCTCACCCGGAGCAAGATGGCGCTTGTTTGTTTGTCGTCTCTGGCCCGCGTTCCAGAGTTTGTTGACACTTTTGCCAAATCCGTACTGTCAAAACATCCTCTAGGGACATTACAAACTTTAAATTTTTGTTAAAAAATATATTTCGGAAAGAAACCGACTCAACAGTTTGGTTTTATTTTGTCCCTCCCGAATTGAACAAATGCAAGCCGTCCCATTTATGACACAAAACACTGGCTATAATTAGTTTAATGCAATGTTTGTGTGCAGGGTGGCTTTCCATGTATTACTGTATCAGCTGGTAACGAATTTTTTATAGCCGGCGTTTCATTAGAAATGTCATCTGTAAACTGTTACTTGCTGTCGTAATTTATGTTAGTCAACCGCGGGTCATCCAGGCCCCCAAACAACCCCTTTATAATGACCCCTTTGTCCCGCCACTCGCGATTCCAGGTGTGACAACCCTTCCCAAAGACAATTTCCCCACGGCCGAATTTTACGAACGGATGCACTTCTTTTCAAAATGTCTGGGGTGAACTGAAACATTATCCCGTGCGCGTCTAACACTCTCTAATGATTCTCAACGGACATAGTCTGCAACCTGACAATATTTCATCTGGTTAGCGGCAGTTAAACATTCCCATGAGCTAATACACATTATTAGCGAACCAGACAGTCCATTCACCATAACCACGTCTTTTTAAACCACAATAAACCACCATCCATCCGAAGTTCCGGTTGAAATTTACACTAGTGCATAAAACTGAAACATGCTACAGTCCAGTGATCATGAAGTTGATCAGCTGTGTCGGTGAAAAGAACCCCAATTTTCGTTGCTGTTCCCTAGCAACTTAAAATGCCCCTCGGAAACACGATACACCAGAGTTCACCCAAAGGGCATTCATTGTTACCTTATAAAGGGTCTCTTTTGTTATGCACCAGACGGAACATACTTGAATTGGCCCGCAGACAGTTTTATAATGCCACATGCATTTGCCAGACTTGCATGTTTTAACGCGAGCAGCCAACTGTATCAATATTACACCTTTAATTTTGCAATTTCGTCATAATTCTTAGTTTCCCTTAACGCTGAGTTGTTAATAAATAAATATAATATGTTAATAAATCTTGATTACAACACAACGGGCTGGACGTCCACTGCCGCAACGTCTACATCTTTGTCCTGCAGACAAACGATATTTTTTATTGTTTTCGAAACGATTGGCAGACAAAGTAGGCTTAGTATTAAGTAACCTCAAGTAAGCTAATGGCTCGTAATTTACAATGTATTTCAATTAACGCATCAGATCAGACGGCGCCGTTCCAGGTGTCAACTGCGTAATGAATTTGCTATTTACAAGGAATTAATTGGTAGATGTAATGCAGTGATGTGGTTAATTGGTTGGTTTTTTTAGAATGATGATCGGTTGATGGTGAACTCATGTGCCTTATCGCATTATTTTCTCAAGTGCTTATCTGTATTTTCACGAAAACAGCTACTTGACCAACAAAGTTCTTGTAAAACAGAAACGGAATGGAAAATGAGTGAGTGAGTGAGTTTGGTTTTACGCCGCTTTTAGCAATATTCCAGCAATATCACGGCGGGAGACACCAGAAATGGGCTTCACACATTGTACCCATGTCGGGAGAATGGAAAATGAAATGGTTCAAAGGTACACAAGCTAGAAAGTTATGCCATAGGTCACGTGACCACGTCCATTGTGAGACCCTCGGTAACCCCATCTCCATGTAGAAGCCTCGATAATGTCTCGGTATGTGGCCTATTTGAAGGTGTAATACTTAGGCGAATGTCATCATGGGAACTCCCGAGAAGATAGAAACTACACTGTTCAGTATGACCAAACTGTAAATGCAAATCCTTTCCAGTGGTTGATTTTTACACTTGTGGCGTCGAAACAACTTTTTGTTAAGAGTATCTCGGATAAATGACTCGGGAACTCGAGGGGATAAGTCAAGCACGAAGAAAGGCACGGACAAAAACTGTCACCTTGCAGTACATACATCTCCATGAACTTTGAATGGATAAATCAGATAAACATCAAACGCTACAATCATTAACCAAGAATGTAGGCAATGGTGTTAATGTAAGAACATTTGAATTATTCCTCATGTAATTGAGAAATATTCTTCGTTAACAATATCAAATATATTGGTTTACGATCGATACCAAAATACTGTGTATCATATCAGGATAAATAAAGCACTTCTAAATACTACATTTGATATACTGTGGTTCAAAATTATTAAATCGAAATTATTTTGCAACGCCAGATTTTGCAACGCCAGACGTCAATGAACTCCAAGGCTGACGCATCTTCAAAACATCCTTTCAAAACAGGTCCGCCATAACCCCTTGTTTATGACGCTAAGATTTTGCATCCTCAAAGGATCAACGAAAAACGACGGAAGACACTAACTTAAAAAACATTTTGTAATCCAAATGCTACGATTAGGAAGAACCTGGCAAACGCCCTCTGAAAAATTCGGCCTTGTATGTTTATTTGCACACAGAGGCATTTTATTGACGAGAGAAAAAACAGATCATGCTCTTCTGTGTATGCTCAAGAGGGAGTTTTAACTTAAAAACGATTTGGGGTTCATCTTTAAAATGCTCAAATCTTTCACGTAACGGGATATTTGGAATTACATCATTTATCTCGTTATTCTGACAAGAAACCTCTTTAGCATAATTCCCTTTTCGCCCACTAAGACACTAACGTAGTATGAAGTGGTCCTTTATTCAATTTTCGAACAAGTTCATGTAGTCCTACTTTGAACCGATCTTCCGATAAACAACGCCACATGTTGAATTCCTATCCGCGGGGCATCTTTTTTGAAATATCTACCCCGCATGGGAGCCTTTATTCCTTCACAAACCCCCATGCATATATCTAATTACATTTATTGCGTAATCACCCACTGACCCCTTATCCCACTTAGGGCTCACACATATCATGAATACAACGAGAGACAGATGACACTTCGTATCAACCACCCACAGGCATTTTCCCCCAGGGTAGTGACTGTTTTGTCACGGCCAGGTGCGTTGATGCCTCTCCCAAGAATACCGATGACGTTCCCCAAGGGTTTAACCCCGGGGCCACTCCTTGTTCGAGGGCTGTGACACGAGGTCTTTGTTATGAGTTGTGATGGCAGGGTACAATAAAACGGCCCACAATAAATTTACTTCTATTAACTATTTCTGTGGAGGGTCTCTTGTATCACTTCCAACGTGTTCAATCTGAAACTGTAAACCCAAACCTGGGCTATACATAGGAAATCTAGGTAATGTGAAAATATTTATTAAGTTGGTATTAATGCCAAAGGAGAATCACTCTGTGTAAAAACATACCCTTTTTGCTGTTGCCTAGCGAGGAGCCTACTGGTTGAAGCGTTCGCTGGTCACGCTTAAGTCCGCGGTTTGATTTCCCACATAGGTACAATGAGTACCTAACCATACTCGCACACTGTAACCTACGCTGTATCCATATTCCGGCTGAAATAAGTCTAGAACAGACAAACCTAGTTTTTCCCATCGCAGAATCCCCTTGGTGTTTTTACCCATTTCGTTCTGTCAAGTACCAATGTTTGCCCACACCTGTTGGAGAATAAGAACCTGTTTGTTGAGCAGGTATGAATAAAATGCTCTTAGGCCTAAACCTCACCAAAGACCCGAGCTGTTTACAAATTCCCATGCGTAACCCGTTGCGTAAGATTCATCAGATGGCTACGTGCACGTAAACGCTGGCAACCAATCCCCACTCGCCCTGTGCACATACAAGTTAAGATATCCTCGTCCCAATCGCGGTCCAAGCATATTTCACGGCCGGGAATGTCATATCATCCGTCGTAAATGCGTGACATGGTAACACCAGGTTTGTTTGGCTTTAGTTTGAAAAATGTTGGTAGGACCTTGTTAAACTCGATTTCAAAATAGAACGCTCTACCCACTAGACCACGCTGGCGGCTTCAGTCATAAGGGTATTAATAACTTGCTTTATTGATATTCATCTTAAAGTTGCGTGCTAAGTGCTGTTGGGGCTACCGACAGCTTGCTGGGGCTACCAGTGGGTGTAGAGTCTTGTCTCTCAATATAAAGTTCAGTATCAGTGTCCATAGTCCCCCATAGAAAATATATACTGAAAAGCCCTATCCGTATATCTTTTTATGGACTCCTAATTCTATGTTTCTTGTCTGCTGAATGTAACGTTCTATACAGAAATCGTCCACCCATTTTGATTTATATAGCCTCAGTGAAGTAAGAATTACCAACTTCAGCCACGATTCAATAAGGATAAATGTTTCGAACAAGAAATAGTAACAATGACTTCATGTAACCATATGTAACTATTTAGTAAAGATAACTATTTGTTCAGAAGCACGCGGCGAATGTAGGGTATTCAACGAGTAAAACACATTCAAAGCACACGCTCTTTACACACGACTGGCTAACCGCGAAAGTAACATCTGTAAATGTATGGGTTCAAAGCTCTACACCATGTTAAAACATTCAAATCGATGTTTCTGTTTTGATGTCTCGAGCGATGTTTCAGTGTCTATAGAATCTACGGTAAGGTCGAATTCCACCGCTTAACCCCTGTCTATTAATATTTATTCTCCATCGAATTGTTGTTTCTTTTATGGAGAAGAAGATTTATGACTGGCATTTACAGATGATAAATTAGTGGCAATGGTCGTTTAAGTTCCTGGATCAATAACTGATTATTATCGCAGCCCGTAAAACCACGAAAACATTATAACCCACATCTGTATTATATCTTCAAAAGAACAGGCTTGTGTTGTGATCAACGTAATAGCCTTACGCTGTAGGATTTAGGACTTTGGCCTAAGGTTTCATGAAGTTATGGTAACGCATGGGCTCAGTAAATACTGTAAGTAAAAACGTTAAGATTCCTATATCACAACTTTCAAAATGTCAATCGTAACACTTCACAACGATACCATCTAATACGTGGAGAAATCATTATGTCAAAATCATATCTGGTAACTGCTAACATAACCCACACTAACTACAGGAATTTGTGCGTCCCTAAGCTTAGCTTAGGAGTTATTTTGGCAATGATCCAAACTGTTGGCGTTGGTATAACGCTTTAATCTTTGCAAATAACGACACGGGTCAATATTTGAAGGTTCACGTCACGCACTTCATTCTGAAGGTGGTCTCCTGCAAGGTGAACCTCTGTTGCGCGATCTCTTCAGAGTAAGGAAATATTTTCTCTTTTTGTAATGAACGTCTTGGTTGAATTTTCAACTATCCTTTACATTAATATAAACGGCTGTCCCGTGGTCCTTTATATTTCTTTATAAGTTAAATCACCTTATCAAGGCCAGTTATGGATGTCATATACTAGGACACGGGGATCACGGGACGCGGTTATGAAACACCGGTGACAGACACGATGATCTTATCGTGGATAAGAACTAGAAATAAAGTGACGAGATAATCAAGCGATAGAAATGTTGCCATGTCAAGCCTCTTTTCATACAGTCAATTAATATATGCAAAAACTCAATAATTGCGATAGTCGTCTTAGACGCCTAAATCCGTCCAATCCTTACGTAAACACATATCCTGGACAGACATGATTGATGGGGTCTTTGTACAACAAGGATTCTCCTTAAACCTTAAGATGAAATCAAACATGATGATAAAGACAAGCACCCGAGAGCGACTTGACACCAACATGTCGGGACAAGTAGAAACCCGTGGTAGATAGAGACATTTACAACTTGAAGAGCGATATCGACGTTCATTTTAAGCCATCCTATGTATGAGTAATGTCTATTCAGTGAGCGAAATACACGGGATGAAGTCTTGGACTTGTCGAATGTGTTGATCGTTCGGGGAAATCGTAATGCACTTGTTATGCAGTCCTTTTTCTCAAATATTGTCCTGATAAACGAGTTTCTGGATATATATGGTACATGGTATAGATATAAGTAATTAACATACATGTTAGTTTGTTGTTTCACATCGCACTCAGCAATATTCCAGCTATATGACGGCGGTCTGTAAATAATCGAGTCTTAACCAGGCAATCCAGTGATTAACATCATGAGCATCGATCCACGCAACTGGGATACGATGACATGCATCAACCAAGTCAGCGGGCCCGAGCTCCCGATCCCGTCAGTCGCCTCTTGCGACAAGCTTAGTCGCCTTTTACGGCAAGCATGGGTTGCTGAAGACCTACCCCTGATCTTCACGGCCTGTTAACATAGATACAGCCATTACAATTCATACACAAATCATACAAACCAGTTCCACGTGTTTCCCACGACATCTATAATGGACAAAATACAATTCGTGATATATTGGAGCATCTGTTGAAAAGGTAATGTTTTGACTTAACGAGTCAAATGTGAAGGTTTTGTGTGTCATAATACACTGAAATAATAGACATACAGCAGTGGCCAGGTGCGTGATTCCACATAGAGATTTCGTTGAAATTAACAACCGTAACACGTGTGTTATCATACAATAAAAATGCTCATGATTCCATTTAATTGAAAGCAAATATGTTGTGTGACGTCAAAGGTGAACAACGGGCCAAACGCACATAATAACATAATGCAAGGTTAAATTTGAAAAGAATCCCCACAGTATACGGTTCGATGCCTTTAACAATCAGAAGTCAACTAATGGGCTCAGTTTGAGAAAAATAATTATATAACTTAAAAAAATTTGAACTGCATCGTTGATTGTATTTTGTTCTGATGGGACGTGCATGAGTCAGGGCAGATTAGTCTTCCATGATATTGTGAGTGGCATTCTGTCACAATACTTCCAACTGCTGTATAGAGCTCACATTGTGACCCACTGTCAGTGAGTCGATGTGATGAAGTGTCCATTACATCATGAATAGGGTCTGGTGTTCATTGCACATAGGCGTGATATAAATGCATTTCACCTACTCAGCTTAAAGTATTGGAAAGTAGGTTATTAGGGGCCATCAAGCTGTTCTCAGTGACGCCCTGATCGGTCTGTTATACATTCTTGTATAATATTTTCTATATTCTCGCCCTCATTGACATTATTATTTCGAAATGGAAAACAATATCATACAAAAGTTCGAAATTGACATTTCTATTTCAAGAAACGACCCACGACTTTAGATACTGCTTCCTGATGGCACACGTTTTTAGATACTGCTTCCCGATGGCACACGTTTTTAGATACTGCTTCCCGATGGCACACGTTTTAAGATACTGCTTCCCGATGGCAAACGTTATTTCTTCATCTAAAATTCTTCTGACTGTAATCACATCATCCATTTTCAAAAATGTAATTAAATTCTCTTCTCTTTTTCAGAGTAAGCGCTCTTCTAGGAGCCTTCTCCTACACCAAGCTCACATCGTCCTTGGACGATGATTGGGTGGATCGCCTCAACCACTTGTACACCGTGGTGCTCCTGGCCGTCTTTGCTCTCTTCATCAGTGGTGGCCAGTATGTGGGCAACCCAATTGAATGCTGGACCCCAGCTCATTTTACGGGGGCATTTACATCATATACAAAATCCTACTGCTGGGTGAAAAATACTTATTACATTCCAATGGATGACACCATTCCCATTGAGCATCACGAGAGGGATTCCGAAGAACTGACCTACTACCAGTGGGTTCCCATAATCCTGCTCTTCATGGCTTTCCTCTTCAAGGTGCCTGCTATCGTTTGGAGAATGTTCAACAGCTCATCTGGTCTTAACCTTGATAAGATCGTCACTATGACTAACAACACCCAGGTCGGCGAACCAAGCAAGCGAGAAGAAACCATTAAATTTATCGCCAAGTACATGGACAGGTGGTTGGAAGCCCATCGTCAGTATTCATTCAACGTATTGGTTCGCGTCCGTCAACGTCTGTCCAAAGTTGTGTGCTTCCTGTGTGCCAAGCGTGACGGCACCTTCTTGACTGGACTGTACATCTTTGTGAAACTCCTATACGTCATCAACGTCATCTGCCAGTTCTTCATCCTCAACGGCTTCATGGGAGGGTGGTACAACTTATACGGATTTGAAGTCATCAGTGGACTTGCAAATGATATGACGTGGAAGGAGTCTCCCCGCTTCCCCAAGGTAGGTCGTCCTAAATTTGATTGGTTTCAGGCCTATTTGAGTATTCTATTTATTTTGTTTAAAATACAGAATGTTTAATGCAAATACGATATTTGCTTACAGGTCTTTACTTTGTGTTGGTTTTGCTTGTGTGGCACATTGTATTAATCAGGTCATGTCTTACGTTTTCCAGGTCACCCTGTGTGATTTCGACATCCGCCAACTCCAGAACATCCAACGGTACACTGTCCAATGCGTCCTGCCAATCAACCTCTTCAACGAAAAGATCTTCATCTTCCTTTGGTTCTGGTTCGTCCTGGTTGCTGTCCTCACCGTAGGCAACTTCCTGTTCTGGATCTGGCGCGCTCTCTTCCGCGTTAACCGAGGCCGATACGTCAAGAAATACCTCAAGCTTCTCGACGAGCTGCACGGAGAAGAGGACAAGAGATTTGCCCGCAAGTTTGCCGATCAGTATCTGCGTGATGATGGTATATTTGTCCTGAGGATCGTAGCCAAGAACTCTAATGACATTCTTCTGTCCGATCTGATCAAGGAGCTGTGGAAAACCTACAAGGACAAGCCAATGATCAAGAAATCAATGGATGAATTCAACGAAACACATGCTTAAACTTCCCGAAGCTAACATTTGCATCAGTTGATAGACAATCTACTGTCTAGTGGTAAATTCATTTGTTTCTGGAACTTGCTTGGCTTTTGGCTGACTGTCGGCTCAAAGCCGTTTGGGAATCAGTGGCATTAGGTGTTGCTTGAGTCTTCTGGCTCTTGGCGTTCTGGCCATGAAATGGTGTAGGTTAGAAAAGAAACGAACGACGCGTTTACAATGGACATTCCCGGAAGCATCAGAATGTGACGTATATCATTGAATAGATGTACCTGAGAAATCGACATTCCATCAGTTTTATCATCATGTAGTTGCAATGGTGTATAACACGTGTTAGTCATGCTTCTTTTGTTCGATTTTCGGAGACCTGTATCCAGCCAGAGATAGGTATTTTTGTACATATTTCCGACCAAGAAAATGTGATTATATTTACCTTTGATTTAATTTGAACACTATTTTTTAGAATAGTTCATGTTATTTAGATTAGGAATAAAACTAGGAGGCGTGGGTTAGGAACTCATTTGCAATTTCAATGATCTCTGTAAGAAACGTCAGTTGTCACAAATAATCAAAATGTTTCTAGTCTGAAATTATTTCTCATTTCAATGTTTTAGATATTGCTTTAGATCAGCCATTCTTTCTTTTTGTGTGTGGTTTGCTGACAAACAACAAGATCACAAAGTCTTCCTTCGGTTTTGTATATTTACATTATGCATGTATTTGGTCAGCAGCTTTGTACAAAAGGAAATTTTATGGAGCGACTACCTTGTACTTTCTATTAACATGGCATTTCACGAAGATAATCGGTCTCGATTGGTTGTACATATATAAATATATAACTATGACAAGTAAGTACTTAAACCTGCCAGACCGACACAAGTCTTCCGTGCTCAAAGAAAACCGGCCAAATGATGTATTATATTTTTCATAATTTTTTGGTATTCCACGTGCCTTAATAATAGCAACCCGTCTACGACATGGACATCGAGATATATTTTATATGATTTTCGAAATTTGAACCTGTACAAAGTATATTTTTGATGGATAGCATCACCTGTGTACAATACTGGGGGATTTGTATATGCAGTATATGTTTGTTTATGTGTATGCTTAAGGGTGAATAATTGAATTAATATAGGTAATAGGTGAGCTTCTGAACTTGTACAATAACATGCAGCATTGCACCCGCACCACTGGGCTTTCCATACTGCTGTTTGTACATTCGCCTGGTTTATTTATTTCTGATTATTTGCCATTTTTCAGCATTTCAAGTTTACAAATGAGCTCATTAATTGACAAGACATCATGTGTATTACTAGTCCCTACATACGTTGGCCACCATATCATGTATACACCTGGTTATCAATAAAACTACTTTCCGATTATTGCATTGTATTATTTCAACCCAGAGATCAGAAAGTTATCCATAAATTGTGTCTACTTTGTAAGTTTCATTTTGCTGTAAAAGTGTATTTGCCAATCAAACAGTTTTTGAATGCACATTTTGTTTTTGATTTGAAAATAAATAAAAAGGACCCCACTCAATACAAAGGGGCGGTTAACCTTTAACGATATGCTTATTTAAATTGTGTTAATGGAATGGAAACAATGAGATCTCCCCTGTCCCAAACAAGTTAACCTAGAATTTTCAAGATGTATACGTTAACAGTAATAATGTTAACATACATGTGAATGTATGTATCAGTATGCATGTGGAGATTGTGTTCTTTGAAATAAATATTTTATATGAAATTGTGTCGAGATTCATTCAACGAATACTTTCATCATGGACCATTCCTGGTGTGTAGCGGGGACTCTTGCCAGTTGCTATGGTCTCGAATCACGTCACACGTGACCCGGTTGTCCATTGCGTCACATAACGTTCACATTGTATTCGGCGTTGTATACCGATATAGGGTGAGTGAGTGGGTATTGGATTAACGCCACTAAAAACCTTGAAACATTGTCGTTGCGAACAGGGTTTCGATCCCACAGAGGTTTCTGGCGTGCCCAGGGGCGGTCGGGTAGCCTAGTGGTTAAAGCGTTCGCTCGTCACGCCGAAGACCCATGCGAATTGCGGCTCCTTAGAAGAGATGATAAAGACAAGATAAAACGTCAACGTCAGAGAATAGCCAGTCTCGATTATCTGCCGAAACAGATTCCATTGTCGTAAAAGGCAATTTAGGGGTGAAAATTATGCGAATGGACCACAGAAAATCAGTGCCGAAAGCAGAGCTACCAATGACGATAATTACATATATCATTCTTATATTTGAATGTCAAGATGTGCTTTCACTTTCACGAAAAGTTCACTTTCATGATTCATAATTTCATTATTCATGGATCCACTAACACAAAGTCTGTATAACCATATATTGTTTCGAGTGTTGTTTAACGCCGCATTCTAGATGTAATGTAGTTAATGCCATATACAATTCATCTGATGTACTAACAGCACATATGCTGTGAAGTATTTGTCATAACTGATTTTGCAACATAATCCAGTTACTGTAGTTTTGAAATAAAACCAGTGACGACAGGTATTACGTAATGACGCATTGGTCATCGATGTCCAATAATGGGATTGACCAACTCATGCTCTTACGCACGTACGGCGAAGAACACCTCAAATGTCACGATTCAGTCCCCTTTTAAAGAGTTTACTGGGTGGCCATGAGATACTACATTCAGTCAACTACGGTTATAACGAACTCGCTTATAACGAACTGACGGATACAACGACCTTACTTTTTGGTCCCGACTATTTGCTGTAGTTATGCTGTATATATGCTTATAACGAACTGCGGTTATAACGAACTAAAATTAGAAGTCCCTTCGAGTTCGTTATAACCGAGGTTTACTGTACTACAATATCCGTTTTGTTCATGGCCAAATCCTGGTAAGCTAGATATCGGTACCTTTATTTAATGTCGTAACTTTTCAAAAGTTGTTATTGTTAATGTACGTATGCTGGAAAACTATTCAAAGGGGAAAACAACATCCTGTTTAAAATTACATACGCGGAAATCCTCAAGGAACTGTGTATGTACAGGTAACTTTTCACATACAGCTTAACTACATGCACCAAACCAACCCAGTCAACAAGCCCTATTATAAGTTATGGTGTCTTATACGGCGTCATATTAGGTTACGAGAGAGATGTGGAACGAGGCGTCGACCAGAACGAATTTATTATGCCGAAAAGTTTGCCATATCTTGTAACTTTACCGCACATGTCATGTCAAAATAAAAACTTGACACTTACAACCGGCATAAATAACAAGACCAGTACATAATTATGTTTCCTATCCAACGCTTTATGTAAACACAAACATTAACAATGGAATATAATATGCAATAAATGTGAACGTTTAAACATGGATAAAGAGAAAATGGATATAATCATCACACAACTGCCTGCATGTTACCAGAAATCTGCGGGCTACTTTTCTCTAGCGACTGTCTGGTATCAATTAATTTGTTATGTGACGTCATTGGCGTCACGTTTCTTTTTGTGACGTCATCCTATAATGTTCTGTGACGTTGCTATTTGTAAATCAGTGACCTCCGTTGTTGGTACTGTTATACAGCCTCTAAACATATGTTGCTTTTTGCTGTTTTGTTCTTTTGAAGATTAGCTACAAATTGTACCCATTTTAGCTATAGTAACGTCTCACAGTCAGTAACATCCATCTTGGATTGTTCTTGACGGTTTACTTTGAGGCATCATAAATGTTGATATATTATCGGCGTAAGCTGTATATCAGATAATATAAGATAGCTACGCGATAAATCCAAAACAACGATGATCGAAGCGTGGTTTATTTCACGATAGATCATTGTTCTATCATGGCGTCATTTCTGGAGATTCGAACATGCGCTCGCCACTTGAACACGTCGTAAACTGGACGACGTTATTTATTTTAGAGGGGCGTGAGTTGCTCCCAATAGAAGAAGCTTGACATTCATGGCCGAACGATGGCATCCAATAGGATTGTGAGAATATGCGGGAAATACCAAACTTAACCCACCTGTTCGTAAAATGGACTCGTCCGACATTTCCGAGGTCGGATTCTATTCAGGGAGTCATTCTACGATAAACAACTCCCACTCGTCGTTTATTTCTTAAGTAACAATCTTATTATGAAAAAAAACACTGCTGCATAACTTGTCATGTTGCCCATCTTGAATATATTTTATCTGAACGTCATTTTAATGCTGAATTTCCAAAATGTTTAAGCAAAGTAAGACTGAGTCTGAGTCTGCTGTTGAAGAATTCGATAGTTTTTTAATATGTGCTGGCTTTAGGGATTGAATCCAAAAGCTTGGAGATGCGTCACAATTATACCTGTGCCAAAATCAGCAAAAGAACCCTCACTACCAGCATCCAAGTGGCCAGTTTCCCTTACCTCGAATTCATTATAGAAAGAATAGTTACCAACAGTTTGAAATATTATCCAGAATTCATGAAATCAGGGTTTCGAAAGGTCGCTCATTCTCTGCTCAACAAGTAAGACGACATACAGGAGCCGAGAAAGCAGTTTGCAATCAGGAGTACAGTAAACTACGGTAATAACGAACTCAAAGGGACTACTAATTTTAGTTCGTTATAACCGTAATTCGTTATAAGCAGATATACAGCATAACTACAGCATATAGTCGGGACTAAAATATTAGTTCGTTATATCCGTTAGTTCGTTATAAGCGTGTTCGTTGTAACCGTAGTTTACTGTACTTGTGTGTATTTCTTGATATTGTATAGTTTAGGGGTTGCTTTACAAAATTTTCCGTCAGAAAGGGTCCTTCAGGTGCGTATTAGAACAGAACCTACCGGCTTGTGCGTCATTGATTATGATGCCCCACAAGGAAGTGTAAATAGCCAAATCTTGTTTAATACCATGATCAGCGATTTCTTCAAACAACACTCCTTTTAATCTATGCATATGAAGGCTCATGTTGGAATTGGTAAATTTCAGTTTGTTACAGAATCAATTAAAAATGTTTAGACATAATTAATGTCTGATATTTAAAATATTTAACATCCATTGCAGTGAGTGAGTGAGTATGGTTTTACGCCGCTTTTAGCCATATTCCAGCAATATCACGGCGGGGGACACCAGAAATGGGCTTCACACAATGTACCCATGTCGGGAATCGAACCCGGGTCTTCGACGTGAGAAGCGAACGCTTGAACCACTAGGCTACCCGACCGCCCCAACATCCATTGCAATGATGATCACTCGTAAAAATTCTTTCTTCAAGGGATGAGTTATCTCATGGTTACAATAAACTAAATATTGTATAAGAGTTTAAATTTACGGGACTTTATTTGAATCCAGTGGATCCATCCACACCTTCTAATACTGCTTATTTGCGTCTCCTTAAGCCAGGACAATTATGAAGACGAATATGAGTCCAAATGTAGTGAGAGCAATTTCTTGTGATTTCGCCAAGAACGTGATCAGACTTTACACACATTTATACCGACAAATCCAAGGATACTTCCCTGGCTTTCTAGATACCTGATTACACTATCCCCGATGCGCTTAGGCCTCATGATTACATCTCGGTATTTGCAGCAGAACCTATAGACACCACACAAGCTTTGAAATTGGTGGATTAAACGAGGAACAGGTAAGGGTATATGGTAACCGCAGTGACCCTGTGTCGACCTCGGACCGTCGCCATGACGCGCGATCATCTCGGCGATGTAGTGGGAAAAGGACGCTGTCATACAGTTACTATATTGCTGAGTTTGGCGTTTAATTACAAACAAACGACACATGAATATTTACAAAAATATTTACTGACATAAATGTATAAAGGCAAAGACAATCGTTGAACAGACACTGCTGCAGTTAAAGTGTCCTGTTCATGGCGTATCCGAACTAGAGGGGGGGGGGGGGGGGTGGGGGGGTGTCAACAACACGTTCAGGATTATGGCCTACGTGACATTTACGCGTATGTGGCTACTTGTACTAATCCGGAATTATATCGGTTTTATAGCGCAAGCCAACTAAAATATCATGCCACATTTAACATAGACACAACACTCACACAATACCGACTTGGAGCCGATCAGTCCTTGTTTTATCCACTTAATAATGCTTGGTAGTTTAACAAGACCCAACTTTTAACGTCTTTAGGTATGACGCAGCCAGAGGATCGAACCACCGACCTTCCCACCTCCAGGCTGACTGACGCTTCTTCCACTTCAACCACTACACCACAGATGATCAACAGCCAACACCATCAGTCAGTAAAGACACTGTAACCATCATTATTCAATTGATCGGTTTTTATTGTTGCACTGATTCCCAATTGCCGAACTTGTGAGGATCCGGGTTAGAAATGGTCTTCAGCAAGCCAAGTGTTCTATCGGTTTCAAATCTAGAGGTTCAGAGGGCCACGAAAGGACCTGAACATTGTAATTCCGTAGGAGTAGTGCTTGTACTGACCCGTGAAGATCCTGATACCGACCCGTGAATATCCGGGTTAGAATAGGTCTTCAGAAACCCATAACTGCCGTAAAAGGCGACGATGCTTGTCGTAAGGGGCAACTTGCGGGATCGGGTGACCTGGCTCACTAACTTGGTTGATGCATGTCATCGTATCCCAATTGCGTGGATCGATGCTCATGATGTCAATCACTGGATTGTTTGGTCGAGAGTTTATTTACAGACCGCCGTCATATAGCTGGAATATTGAGTGCGGCGTTAAACAAGAAACAAACAAACCCAATGGCCGACTGA